GTTGCTATTCCTTTCTTCGACCTCCTGTTGAGTTTGTAGGTGTTCAGAATGGTTTGATCCCTATCCAGCTGAATTCCTGAGAGGAGACGAAATCCAGTTCTCCTACTCCTCCGCCATCTTGCTCCGCCCCCCTTGAGTTCCTTTAATTCTGTCATTTTCTGTGACCATCTGGAGTTATAATTTGTGTTTAAAATTTGAAACAGTGAAGCAGTGTAAACTGCAAAGTACAATGATTTTAAAGTGCAAATTTTACTTCATACCTGAATAGTTTACTGAATGTGAATATCTTTACCGTTGAAATTGATTCTTCTTTTAAAATTTCAAGTTGTTTATTTTAAAACTAAAAAACAAATCAAGAAAACAATCTGTAATAATATATTAACTATTATATTAAAACCACCAATCTGTGGGTAGTTTTTCCCCTTTATTTAAAACACAGTCACATAATTAAAAAGTGTTAATCCAATACTCTTTTCCTTTTTTATATTTTAATATTTTATTTTTATTTCTTTACTGGTATGATTCCACGTACAAAGTTTAATACTTTGTATTAAACAAGAACATCCACACATTTCTTTTCTGACCATTATCATCACTTGTTTCATTGAATGAGTATTACTGGAAATAATTTTGTTATGTAAAGGGGAGGCTATCAAAAAACCGTCTGCTCCCAGTATCAGATACTCTAGGTTGCCCCTGGGCAACACTTAGCCCCAAGGAAAATCTAAAATCCCTCCCGTGAGTTCCTGGTGGGCATCGTGAAAGCCCCTGAGGGGAATATGCGGGGCTCCTGGCCCCAGCCCGTAGCCCTCTTCTGGTCTCCGGGTGTGTTCCGCCCTGACTGCAGAAAACAGCACACGTCAAAGCAAACCACTGTGTGACCTGGCAAGGACCCCACGGGGCCCAGCCTGCCTCCCAGTGAAGGTCACAGCAGAAGGGTGCAGGTCCCCAAGCTGGGAACCCCCTGGAGGGCTTCTCCCTCCATCACTGTCAGTCCCCTGGGTTTCCCGTGGCTCCAGCCCTGGCAGCTGGAATGCCGACTGACAGGAGGAGGAGGGCCCAGAGAGCCAGCGTCTGAACAAACCTGAGGCCCGCCACCCTCCCTCCCTCCCTCTCTTCCCTTCCTTCCAGGTGCCCTGGCCTGGATGGGCCACAACGCCCCTATATTCACTGCCTCCTGCCTTCACCCTGAGGGTAGTCACTCCCCTTGTGGGACAGCCTGGAGTGAGCTTGATAAAGGAAGCGACGTGGAGGCCCAACAACAAGGCCTACTCAGCAATACTGAGCACCTGCTGAGTGCCAGGCACTGTGGTAGCATTTTATACAGATTCCTGTAGGGTAGACACAGCAATGACCTCCATTTGACAGTGAAGAAGCCGGCTCGGGGGTTGAGCAGCTGGTCCAAGTGCATGATGGTCAGTGAGCTCCTAAGTGCGCAGTGCTATGGTCCTCAGAGGGAGCCTCCCTGCAGAGTCAGAGAGGCCTGGAAGCAGAGGGCAGGGGTGTGGGGGCAGTCGTCCATGGAGGGTTGGTTGTCTGGAGCTTAGAGGCAGGGTCCTGCTGGAGGGTGGCAGGAAGCAAGCCGAAGGGGCAGGAGAACCCCAGAGTGGACTACCTTTGGTCTCCTTGCCTGAACGTCTGCCTGCCAGCCCAGCCCTGGCCGTGCCCCCTGGGAACCTGCCCTCTACCGACTGCTTGTACAGGGCCCCTCGGTGGTCCCTTCCCATCTGCTTGCGTCTCATCACCACCCCCAGCAGTCAATGGGCCAAATCCCCCAGAGACCCGCCAACATGGCAGGGCTGGGTCTAGAGTGCAGGTTCTGTCCTGAGCTTCTCCAGGAACCCACGGCAGCCCACGGCTATGGCAGACCCTGGGACAACTCACAACTGCTCAAGAATTAGAGTCCTCTCTGGGGGGAGAGCGGAACTCACTCCAAGTCCTCTTTAGGGGGGATCCTAGAGACAGGGCAACCTGGGCTACCTCCGCCAACCCTGGCTGCCAGTCTCCTGCGGCTGCTGACCCCCTGCGGGTGGGGGGCGGTGAGGCGCATTTGAGGAGCACTCTCCGATCTTCAGCATCTCTCCTTCCCGAGGCTCACTGTCCCCTCTCACAGGCAAGGAAGCTGAGGCCCAAGGAGCAGTGTGCTTTACCCCAGGCCATGCAGGGGGTCAGCAACAGGCACTCCGAGCGCTCTTAGCCAGACACAGTGGCTTTCCTTCTAGGCTGCCTTGTCACAGCAGAGGGGCACCTGCTGAAGAAAGGGAGATAAGATCAGTAGGGCCCAGGCCCTCAACTGGAGCTTGTGAAAGACATTGCTGAAGCGGTGTCCCAAGGGCAACGGCTGCCGCGGGGGGTGGGGGCGCTGGGGTGGGAAGCGGGGGCTGCGGAGGGCGGGGGACACGGGGGCTCGGAGCGGGTGCGCTGGGCACTGAGGGAGGGATGGCCCCGGAGCTGGAGCAAGGACAGGCAGGCTGTGGGGCGCCGGGGGTGGGATGGGACGGGGTGGGGTGAGCCGGCACCTGCTCTGCGGGTGGGATAGGATGGGGCGGAGCCAAGGCCCACAGGCCCATCGCTCTGCGGGCGCTTTCCCTGTGACATCTCACTGGGTCCCCAGTGGCCCCCTGATGCAGCCCCTTCATTTTCCCGGCTCAGCCCTGCTTCAGCCATCGCCTCGTCCTCTCCCGCATCTTGGAGAGAGCTGGCAAAGAAAGGGAGCAAGGCGGAGAGGCCAAATCACTGACCTGACATCATTCGTGCACTCAATAAACATTTATTGAGCACCTACTGAACACCCGGCCTTGAGCTGAGGTGTCTGGGGAGATAGAAGAGTAAGGCAGACCCAGTTTCTGCCCAGTTAGTGGGAGGAGAGGAGCCTTTCCAACCGTCTGGTCCAAGTCCCATTTTAGGGATGTGGAAACTGAGGCCTGGAGAGGGAAAGTGCCTTGCCCAAGACCATACAACTAGTTAGTGGCAGGACCAGGCCCCGTCTTCTGAGGCACACTGTTCCTCAATCTTCCAGCAAATACTCACTGAGCAATACCTGTGTTCCAGGCACTGCCCTGAGCCTCGGGGGAAATACATCCATGAACTCAGTAGCGAAGAGGGTGGGGGGTGGGATGCTTCAGTCTCATGACTCCCCTGAAAATGAGAGGGAAGTTCCAGGGCCCCACCTCAGGAGGCTGGACTTCCCCTCCCTCACCCTCGGAAAGGATATAAAAGTCTCCTCCCAGCTACTTACAGAAAAGAGGAGGTGAGAGGTCAGCTTGGGGACCTCCAGGTGAGAGGGGTGCAGGGGGCCCACCTGTGTGCAGGATGTGGGTGTCAATCCCTTGCCCCACTGCGGCCAGGGGCCTCACTGCAGAGATGAAGCTGTTCCTGGCCCTGGCTGGGGTCCTAGCCACACTCATCCTGGCCCCGCCATGTGAGGGCACCGGCCCAGGTAATATCCCTTTGGACAGCCGAGGAGGAGGGCAATGGAGGGGGCGGTGTCTGGGTCTGGGGGGAGCCCATGGCTCCCCTGGACACTGAGTCCCCTTCCCTCTGAACAGCCTCCCCCATGACAGTGGAGACCTCGGTCCTTCGGGACTGCATAACAGAGGCCAAGTTGCTGGTGGATACTGCCTACAATCAGACTCAGAGGAGGTGGGTCTGGAAGGGTCGATGAGGTGGGTAGGTTTCAGCCACAGTCATGTCAGCCATCACCCTGCCCCCGGCCACCCTGAGGCAGTGCCATGTTGGTAGAGAGCCTCCCTTCCATCCATCCTGTCCGTTCACACGGCCCTGGCTGTCCACCACTGGGCTGGGGCTCTGCTGGAGGGCTCTTCTGGGGGGCTCTTCTGGGGGGCTCTGCTTCCTTTCTCCAGCCCTTGCTCTCTTCCTGCAGCATCAGGGAGCGCCTCCGCAGTGGCCTGGCCAGCCCCATGGACCTCCTGTCCTACTTCAAACAACCGTTGGCAGCCACCAGGACAGTGGTCCGGGCTGCCGATTATATGCATGTGGCCTTGGAGCTGCTGGAGGGGAAGTTACAGCTCCAGGGATCCAGTTCCTTCAATGTCACTGGTACTGTGCTCCACACTGAGCCCCAGGGCCTGCTGTGGCCTGGGGAGGCAGGGTACACAGCCCGGGCTGTTGGGAGGGAAGAAGGTCGAGGGATGGGAGGTATGGAACAGACCAGCTCAGGAAGGAGCCAGGACCCTGCCCCCCCATCCCACCCCCAGATGTGCTGACAGAGCCCCAGCTTCGGCTGCTGTCCCAGGCCAGTGGCTGTGCTCTCCAGGACCAGGAGGAGAAGTGCAGCAACAAGTACCGGACCATCACTGGGAGATGTAACAACAAGTGGGTGCCGGGGGCTGCGCCTGACCCAGGGTGCCCCCCTTCCCCCCACCACCCCGTCACCCCCCACGGAGCATCCTCTAGGCTCAGAACTCCTGCTGACTGGAGCCAACTCTCTGCTGCAGGAGAAGACCCTTGCTGGGGGCCTCCAACCAGGCCCTGGCCCGCTGGCTGCCGGCTGAGTATGAGGACAGGCTGTCCCTCCCCTACGGCTGGACGCCCAACAGGAGGCGCAATGGTTTCCTCCTCCCTCTCGTGAGTAGGGGCTGAGGGTCTGGAGGCTGCTCCACCACCTCTAAACAGTAAGAGCACAGCCCCGAGCCAGCTGGAAGCCAGGCTCAGCCACTGGTCAGCCAGGTGCCTCTAAGCAAGTCATACAGCCGGGTCTCAGTTTCCTCATCTGTAAAACGGCAGTAAAACCCACCTCGTATTGCTGGTGTATGAATTCTAAGGTCCTTAGTATAAACATCTCCGTAGGATGCGATCAAGTAATGCAAGCCATTATAGTGTTGTTTTTTCTCCAAGAATTAGTATCAAAGTATCTAGCTAAATATAAAGATCTGTATGTCTTATTCTATGTCTATTGATCTAAATGATTTCATATTTATCAATTTATCAATTTTCTATTCATATGTCAATATGACAATCACCTACTCATCTATCAACAGCTATTCATTAATTCTTCTTCCATCTATCTATCCAATTCTCTCTAGATTTATTATCCATCACCTACCAACTGGTCCATGCATCTCTCAATCACTTCTGTCATCTAGGTACCCATTAGTCTATAAACTGATCTATCGATTCCATGTATTTATCTTTCTGGAAGAGCTGGTGGGGTCTCAGCCAGCCAACCAGGCATCTCCCTTTCTCTACTCCTGAAATCCTCAGGAGCCACACCAGAGGCCAACCTTGTAGGCATGACAGCCACACAGGGGGTGAAACAAAGTAAGGTTGGGGAGGGGAGGGCAGGAGACGGGGAGAGACCGTGTTCACACCAGCAGGGGCAATCTGCTGAGTTGGCCCGGGATGCCCCATGCTGATCTCTCTCCCCACCAGGTCCGAGCTGTCTCCAACCAGATTGTGCGCTTCCCCAGAGAGAGGCTGACCTCCGACCGGGGCAGGGCCCTTATGTTCATGCAGTGGGGCCAGTTCATTGACCACGACTTGGACTTCTCCCCTGAGTCCCCAGCCAGAGTGGCCTTCACTGCGGGCGTGGACTGTGAGAAGACCTGCGCCCAGCTGCCCCCCTGCTTCCCTATCAAGGTACCCCGACCGGTCCCCGGGGCCCCAGGCCAAGAGCTGCGGGGCGGGTCCGTAAGACTAAAGCGGCCTCCTCAAGGAGCTGTCTGTGGTGCTGGAGTATCAGACGAAGGCGAGGAGGCTGGCCCTGCAGAGACCCCCGGTTCTGTGCGTTTGCGGGGTGGGGGCAGGGGCGGGGCAGTCTGCCCGCAGTTTAGTGCAGGCTTCACAGAGGAGGAAGCAGTGGAGACTAGCCTTGACCCATGCGTCTGATCCCGACAGGGGAAGCCTCTGGGCTGCTGCTTTTGGGAGCCTTTAGAGACTCTTAGCTCTTGCCCTTCTCTCCTTCCTGAAGAGGTCCAAGAGCCCTGCAGCTCTCACCAATTCCTGGGATGGTGTTGTGAGTATGGCACTATCCTTCGGGCTGAGAGGCAAGGAGCGTGTGGAACACTAGGGAAGGAAAGACAGACTCCAGGGAGCAGACCTTTCTGGAGATATGGGGCAGGGGACACCTGTGCATACACTCCCACATTCATTCACCCCTAACAGGTAGGGCGACATTTGTGGGGCAACCTTACCCATTCCTCCAGCTCCAGTTCAAGGGCACCTCCCCGGGGGAATCTTCCCATATTTTCCTAGCACACCTTTTGCTTTTGACTTTTAGATCAAGCACAGCAAAGAGTGCCTCAGTTTAGAGTTATATTCTCTATGTGTGCACCTGTTTTCACTGAACGCCAGCTTCCTGCAACCTGTGCTGGGGTTTGCTGACCTTTGTTGGTCTCCAAAGCACCCGGCATAGAAGGGTGCTTGGGAGATGTCTGTAGAGTTAAATGGAATGAGAGGAGCACAGACCCCAATGTCAGGAGAACTAGGTCTTAATCCTACCTCTCCTGCTAACGAGCTGTCACTTCCTGTCTCTGAGCCTCAGTTTCGCCAGCTGTAAAATGAGGATCCTTCCATGACTCTATGATATAAAGTGCTAAGGATGCTCAGATTGACCTGGTGAGCAGCATGAGTCTGGGTGAGCTGAGGAGGGCTTCCTAGAGGAGGGGAGTCTCAAACAAGGTTTTGAAGCAGGTGAGGAATGGTCCAGAGGAGTGAGCTTGCTCTTGAGGGCACCCCCGGGTCACTGGCTCCTCTTCCACCTCAGATCCCGCCCAATGACCCCCGCATCAGGAACCAGTGTGACTGCATCCCCTTCTTCCGCTCGGCACCCGCATGCCCCCAAAACAGGAATAAAGTCCGAAACCAGCTCAATGCGCTCACCTCCTTTGTGGACGCCAGCATGGTGTATGGCAGCGAGGTCTCCCTCTCCCTGCGGCTCCGCAACCAGATCACTCTCCTGGGGATGCTGGCTGTCAACACCCGCTTCAGCGACAACGGCCGGGCCCTGCTGCCCTTTGACAACCTGCGTGATGACCCCTGCCTCCTCACCAACCGCACAGCGCGCATCCCCTGCTTCCTGGCAGGTCAGCCCCCAGCAGTCGACTGAAGAGTAGGTTAAATAAGACCTGATACAAAAGGGTTTCGTTCAAAGCCAGCAAGTGACTGCGTGTAAGGCCCACCTTCAGGAATTTGCTTTCCTTCCAGGCCTCCAGGAGAAGCTCTGGCTACAGGAACGGGCTCTGCCCAACCCTCTCTCTTTCTCTTTCCCCTGGGCTCCCTGGGGAGAGCAGCCTGATCCCAAGTCCACAGCTGGGGAAAGGTCTAGCTCTTGGTGGACAATGTACCGATGGATGCAGTTCATGGGACAGGTGGGCTCGCAGTCCCAAAGTCAAGGTTTCCTAGAGTCATCCGGGTCCCTCCACCAGCTGTGGACCTGGTCACTTGTAGAATAGAATCATGCCCAAGACCAGCAGCTGCTCTGTGCTTCCCCACCTTGCCTGAACCTACTTCAGTAACTTTGGGATCTAAGACCCCACTGTCTCCCCTGTCCTGACCCGTTATGCGGGGGCGGATGGTGGCAGTGAGTGAGAAGCCTTATAGCACAGCTGAGGGGATGGAGGTCCAGCGAGGGCCCGGGGCTTGGCCCGAGTCACAAAGTGCTACCACCTCTTTCTAGTCCCCAGAGCTCTCTGTCTGCCTTAGCAGAAAGACATTTCTCTGGGAAGAGCTGTGGTGACTCTGAACTTGGGGTTTTCAAGGTGACTCCCGATCATCGGAAACTCCCAAACTGGCGGCCATGCATACCCTCTTTATGCGGGAACACAACCGGCTGGCTGCGGAGCTGAAACGTCTGAATCCCCAGTGGACCGGAGAAAAGCTATACCAGGAGGCCCGGAAGATCGTGGGCGCCATGGTCCAGGTAGGGAGCCCGGGGCCCCAGCATCCCCTAGAAGACAATCTGGCATGAGACACCATTTGAGAGAGTGGCTCCCACTTTCCTTAATACATCCGTTGAGGCTATGCCTCAAATCAGCTAAGGCTGGGTGATGGGGAGTGTACCTGAGATCTGACCTCTACCCCAAACTCTGCCACTAACTCACTGTGTGACACTGTCCTTGTCACCCTGCTCTTCATCAGCCAACGGGAAATGTATATTTCCACATTGGGCATGATGGTAATAAAGAACTGGTATGTCTGAGCAGCACTTCAAAAAGCAAAAGTTTTGTCCAAAGGCAAGGGAATGGGGTGGGCAGCTGCTAAGGTAATGTTCCTCCTATCCTCTCTTGTAGATCATCACCTACCGAGACTTTCTGCCCCTGGTTCTGGGCAAGGCCCGGGCCAGGAGAACCCTAGGGCCCTACCGGGGGTATTGCTCCAATGTGGACCCTCGTGTGGCCAATGTCTTCACCCTGGCCTTCCGCTTTGGCCACACCATGCTCCAGCCCTTCATGTTCCGCTTGGACAGCCAGTACCAGGCTTCAGGACCCAACTCGCGCGTCCCGCTTAGCACTAGCTTCTTTGCCACCTGGCGAATCGTGCATGAAGGTGACCAGGTTTTAAAAGCAGATGGGAGTGGGGGTGGGGCCAGGCTTAGTGCCAGGAGGCCGGGCTGCTGCTCAGGCCACTGCTAATCATCTCCCCAGGGCAGTACCAGGCAGGTGCACCAAGACCCTCAGGCCTGGGCCTCCCGTGCCCTTAGGGATGAGAGGATTCACAAAGGGAAGGAGACGCATGTCAGACTGGGGGCTTGTGGGCCTGGGAGGAGGTCGCCTTCCGCTCCTTCTTTAAGGAGTGGGAGTGACTTCTTTCCCTGCCAGCCCCAGCTCGCTTCAAGTCTACCCAGGCAACATTACAGAATATAAGCAACTGGCTTGTCCAGCTCTGAGCTAGCTTGGCATCATGTGATGACCCAGGGGCTCCCCAGAGGCCGATCCAATCTGTGCTGCTCACATTCCCCGCCACCAGGTGGCATCGACCCCATCATCCGAGGCCTCATGGCTACCCCTGCCAAGCTGAACCGTCAGGATTCCATGTTAGTGGACGAGCTGCGGGACCGGCTCTTTCAGCAAGTGAGAAGGATCGGGCTGGACCTGGCGGCTCTCAACATGCAGCGCAGCCGGGACCACGGCCTCCCAGGTGAGGGGGCTTTGCTTGGCCTGGGGCTGCTGCTATTGGGGGTGGGGGGCAGGTTTCAGAGAAGACCCTTGGTGCATCCTTTCTGGCTGGAACTCTCTACCCCGTGTGCTGAGGTTCAGAGGCATGCGAGGCTGAGCTTGATGCAGGAAAGCATCCCTGGGACCACCCTTTGCCATCCTGCCCTATCTTCACCTGCCACCATAGGGCCTCTAGCTGTAGGTTCACAGAACGGCCAGGACCTGGACACGATCTGCTTGTGGACAAAGCAGATTAGCTCTTTCCAGGTGGAGAAAACAGTAGTTTCAAAGGGCAGAGAAGAAATGCTCCATTCCCCGCTACCCTGGTGAGTTCCAAGGAGGAAGACTCAAGTTCCAGGGACATAGGAATTGGCTCCTGGCTCTAGGTGCAGAAAGGTAGAGAGCTCAAGAGGTAGGAACGGGTGGAGTGAACTGAAGACGGCCTCGGCTGTTTCCTGAGGACAAAAATCCTAGGAAAGAAGAAAAATGTATCCTAGGAAAGAAGAAAACTTAGGCACTTTGCCAGGAATTTTCAAGGCTATTAATCATTTCATTCTGCCAATGACCTTGAGAAGCAACTATTACAGCCGTTTTTATGGATGAGGAAATTAGCTCAGAGACATCTGGTCATTCTCTCAAGGCCACACAACTAGGAAGTAGCAAAATTTGAATCAAGTTCAGAATTTCTCCTTTCTTCCCCCTGTGCAAGCTATAATGTTAGGGGAAGGCTATGGTCACCACCTTGTCCCCTCTCCCTCTCCCCTACGTTCCTGTCTACAGCCTGAAGCCCCGTCTGCCTCAGCTCACCCGTGGCTGTGTATAACGGGGTGGGGTAAATCTCCACCGCACCTACCACAGCACCTGGCAGGAACCCAGCGGGGGCTCAAAAACCTGTTTCTTTCCTCCTCACGCTTGGGGGCTCCCGACCACTAAAGAGCCGCGGGCGCCCCCTGCTGGACAACTGAGATTGCCAGCCACCCAGGTGCCACACCGTGAGCTTCTGTGCCAACCTCCCCACCCCCCATATCTTTCCCTCTAAGCTGTCACAGAAATATTGTCCAAATACTAGCTCTGACAGTCTCCTCCAATCCCTTCCCAAGTCCAACACCAAATTTGGGATTGGAAAAGCTTGTTTGAACTCCACTTACTGGTGGAGTGACCTTAAGAAAGTCACAGCTGCTCAAGCTCAGCAAATATCCATTTGATATAATGGAGATTACAAAGTGCCTTGCAGAGGTGTTGTGAGGATCCTAAGAGATTATCACACACCAGGGCTTAGTGAGGTAAAGCACTGTATCGTTTTCCTTTGCTCAGCTGGAAGATGGTGTTGGTGAGGTGTAGTTCAATGGACAATATGGGGCAGGTGGTTCTTCAAGGTTAGGGCAAATCCATCTCCTACCTTGATGGTCCCTGCCCCATCATCTGGCTTGGTCCTGGTGTGGGATCCTAATAGCAGAGAAATTGTAGGTGGAAAAAATTTTTCAAATGGCTTTATTGGGATATAATTTGTGTATCATAAAATTCACCCATATGAAGTATATGATTCAATGACTAGTGTATTTAGAGTTGTGCATTGATTTTTTTTTTTTTTGGTCTGTTAAGGTCTTTGGCCCACTGATCACCATTGCTAATGTCAGAACATTTTTAGCACGCACGAAAGAAACCTTACAATAACAGTCACTCCTTGTGCCCTTGACAATCACTGATCTTTCTGTCTCTACATAGTTGCCTATTCTGGACCTTTCATGTAAATGGAATCATACAGCATGTGGTCCTTTTCTGAGTAAACTTTAACCATGCTCTTCATTTGTTGGTTTGTTCACCTATGTATTTGTTCATTCCTTCCTTCTCTAAACCCGAGTAAGAGTCTTTTATGTTCTGGGTCCATCTTATTTGTACATAATTGATGCACTTGAGCCCAATAATAATATCCTTGTGGTATTAGGTGTTACACTAGGACACACTCCTCAGTTTGATGCACGCAAAGCATGGTTGTCTACTCACTTTGAAAACTAAAGGGCAGTGGTTTGATCCTTGGAAGGTTCGGCCTCTTCTGTCAGCAGGGATCTTGTTCTGCCCGACATTTCCTGACCACAGAGCTCTCTCGGGAGAAACTGTGGAGCAGCAGAAGCTAACGGGAAGTCAGCAAGGTAAGACTGAACCGCCTCCGCCCCCTTTCCCTACAGGGTACAATGCCTGGAGGCGCTTCTGTGGGCTCTCCCAGCCCCAGAATCTGGCACAGCTCAGCCAGGTGCTGCGAAACCAGGGTTTGGCGAGGAAGTTCCTGAATCTGTATGGTACACCTAACAACATTGACATCTGGATTGGGGCCATCGCAGAGCCTCTTTTGCCAGGGGCCCGAGTGGGGCCTCTTCTGGCTTGTATTTTGGAAAACCAGTTCAGGAGAGCCCGAAATGGTGACAGGTAAGGGACCTTCCCCTAAAGAGACCAGCCCCAGAGGCAGGGCAGAAAAGCGCTGGCATGTCAAGACTCAGCAAGGGGGAAATTGCCCTTTTTGATTCGTTTCTTCCAAGTTCACAGGGTCTGAGACTAGGAGGCTCTTCTGTGGAGAGCTTTGTCAGAGTGAGAGAGACCGTGGGCCAGGCAAGCCTGATGCTGCCTGAGCTGTTTGGCTAGTGGGTCCCGGGAAACATGGGCAGAAAGGGCTAAATCTGGTTTCCTTCCAATAAAGCTTATGGTTTAAGACCTGACTCCTCATTTGGATTTGGCATTTACCCAGGTTCAAATCTAGCCCTGGCCACTTAAGTTACTGTGCACTTAATACTGAGCAATTGCCTTGACTGCTGAGCCTGTTTCTTCATTTATAAATGGGGAATAATACCTATTTTGCAGGAATTCTGGAGAACGGAATGAAATACCGTGAAGAACCTGGCATACCACAGGGGCTCGTTGTGTTCATTCCTCCCTAACCTTCCCCCACATCTCTCGACTTGTCTCGGTAGGTTCTGGTGGGAAAAGCGGGGTGTTTTCACCAAGAGACAGCGCGAGGCCCTGCGCCACATTTCCTTGTCTCGAATTGTGTGTGACAATACCGGCATTACCACTGTTTCGAGGGACATCTTCAGGGCCAACACTTACCCGCAGGACTTCGTGAGCTGCACCTGCATCCCCAGGTTGAACCTGTCAGCCTGGCGAGGCAGATGAGGCCTCTACAGGTAAGGGGAGGCCCTGCGCCAACATCCTTCCCAGACCAGATGGCTGAGTCCTTTTAGACCTCTAAGCAGAGACTACCAAACCTGTCACGAGAAGCAGGGTAGTCTTCCCTACTGGCCTCCGGGTCTGCTAGCTTCTGGACGGACAGCTGACCCAAGGCCTAGGACTTTGGGGGGCAATTAGGAAGCCTCAGTTTCACCGTCAGCACCCTAACACAGCTCCGTGCCTGGACACCCAGGAAGTTCCTCACTTGCCCACATGTGCTGCTTCCACAGGAGCCCATTCCAAGCCTCTGGCCTCAGACACAAGAGAACCTGGGGAAGACCACGAGGCTGCCTCCTCCCCTGGAGCGACCACATCTGCTGACGCTTTTGCTGGCTCTGGCTCATTGCTGGTTCTGTGGCTGGGAGTGCCAGCCGGGATTCCCGGCAGCAGTGAACCCTCCCACCTTGGGAGCCTCCTAGGTCTTAGGTCAGGCATCGGCTCCGGGTGCAAGGAGGTCTTGAGGCCCAGGCAAGAAGAGTCATCTGCATGGTCTCCGGCCTCTTTTTTTCTATTTCCCAGCCTGTCCCCATCCCCCACCCATGACTGCAGCCTATGCCACACCCGGCCCCAGCCACCCCACCATCCTCCGCTGGAGCCTGCAGACCAGGCAGTGAGCTCTGCTTGTACCAATAAAAGTCCACCGAGGGCAAGAGCTGGTTTCTGCGTCAGGCTGGGGAGGGCATAACCTCAGTCCCAAGCTTTGCTGCAAACGTTTAGAGGAGCCCTGCCAGGACCACACTGGCAATAACCCCTACGCCTCTCTTGCAGGCTGCCTCCAGACACTGTGGAGTGGGAAAGGGCAGAAAAGGGGAAGGTTCGGGAGAATACCCTGGCCATGCCAGCAACGTGAGCAGAAAAACAGCTGACACGTCAGTCAGTACAAAAAGTTTTTATGTACCAAAAATACAATAAAAGACACTACCTGGCTAGCAGAAAGGACTGGGCACTGCCTTCAGCCTTCATTTACTCATATCTCAAACACAACAAGCCCCAAGCGGCAGGACGAGGCTACCCTGGAAAGAGGAGGCTGAGGCTCCCAGGCTAGGCATTCAAGACCTCTCTCCTCTTCCTTTCTTAAGCCTCCATTTGTAGCGAAGGCTGTGAAGCAGGAGGCACCTGCAGCTCTCTGCTCTCAAGACAGTGAGACAAGCCAGAAAAGAGGCCGTGTCGAGGACAGAACTAACGGGGGGGTCACCCCACACTGGGCTAACCCTACAAGCCCGCCCTGTCATGAGAGCCACTCGCAGTAACTGAAACATGCAGAGGCGGACCGCAGGGTGTCCAGTAGTACTGCTACCCAGAGTGGGGAGGCCCTGCCGAAGACCAGGCAGAGGGGCTGGCCCAGGACCTTCTCAGCTCTTCCGGTTCTCGGCAGGCCAGTGGGGTCACTGGAGAGAAAGATGAAGAGGCGGACAGCACCAGCCTCACACATCACCCATCTTGTCCTCTTGCACGGGGTGGGGTGGGGGGCGGGGCCAGGGCCGCCGTGAGCTAGGAAACCATGGTCCCGGAGGGGCTCACCAGGTCCTGGGGAAGGCTTTCTCGGGCCTCCTGCATGCGGCGCCGGGCGCGACGGAAGGCGTCTGCAAGGGGAGCAAATGCAGTGGTCAGCCGCTGTGGTGTGGGGAGGAGTGGGGCTCATGCTGATAAGGGGCGGCCGGGGGAGGGAAACCTACCCAGCACATTGTGAACAGAACTCTGCTGGCTGAACCCTTCCAGACGGTCCAGCACGCTCTGCATCCTTTTCCGGAGGGAACTTGACTCCATGAAGGCCCTGCACAGAAGCCCAGCACATGGCCACAGCTGCTGTTCAGCCCTCAGGGGTAAGGCTCCCCGACGCAGAGGGCCGGGGTCACTCACCTGGACTGCTGCAGACAGTGCAAGCGGAAGATGATGCAGCCCGTGGTCTCGGTGCGGAACCCAAAGCGGCTCAGACGCTCCCCCTGGGGCGTGCAGTTAAGACCGCGTCAGGCTTCTGTGGGTTCTAGACCCCAGGCACCATGCGGACCTCACCCCCATTCTTACTCCCATTCTCGGAGAACAGATCTGCTGGGGGAAATCTCATTCCAGCACCCAGACTCCATCACCTCAAGGCTAACGTGGGGCTCCCAACTGTAAATCAGGGGACGCCCCAACCCAGTTGAGAATAAGCAGTCTGACAAGTGGCCTGCCAATCCTCCCCGCCTTTGATGACTAAAGCCTCGGTGATGGGCTGGAAGGAGGGGCCGGTAACTCTGACGGGACCAGGGCAATCTCTAAGTATGCTCATTTCCCGAGATCTCCTAGGATAGCAGCGTAGATGTTTGTACCTGGCTCGAGATGTGGCCATGACCTCCAGCTGAAGCCACAGAAAGGAAGGGACTAAGTAATAATGAAGCAACTAAGGGGCCGTAACCCTGACCCCACCTTCTCCAGAAGAGACAGGAACCTAAGCTCCCAGCATGAAGTCTGCCCAGAGACAAAAGGCACCTTGAAGGTTCCTGGTATCCGCACATAGGAGAGGTCCTCCAGTTCCAGAGAGCCGCCAATGAAAAACCTCCTCAGCTCAGCCTCCGTGCCAAGCTCCATGGGCCTCCACGTGGGGACTGTCAGGGTGTGCGAGCCTGTGACGAAAGAGGAGAGTGGGGCCTCAGCCAGAAAGGGCATGTGGTCTCTCATTGACTCCCAGCAATGACACAGGCCTCGCCACTACTGAAACACCTTGTCTGGGGACGACCTGACCTCTGCGGAGGGGATCCTGGAGGTCTGGGGCCCCTGTTTGGAAATCAGTCAGCTAGAAATTCACATCTCAGCTCTGCCAGTTATGACCCGTGTACCCAGGACAAGTTTCTTAACCCCTCTGAGCCCCATTCCCCTCACTAGCAAAATGGCAACAGTAACGCCTACGTCTCAGAGTGGCTGGCGGAATCAAATGAGAAGCACTTAGCACAATGCCCGGCACCCAACAGGAGACGGCAGCTCTTATTTCAAAAACGAATGCTGATCCATTCAATCCACGATGCCAAGAGCCCACCCCGCCTGAGCTCCTCCCTCAAGGCCGCAAGTCGAAACAGGGGAGCTCGGAGTAGGAGTAGACGCCCAGGCTGCTCGGCTTCCGAGTCAGCTGCAACCTCACTCAGCTGTCTCTCATGGAGCAAGGGACCTGGCGAGTTAAGTGCTCCTAATTCCTAATGATCCCGAATGTTTTAGAAGTGTTAGTCTCATTCCTAGAGGGAGCTAGGGCACGGGGGCCACATGGAGGGCAGGGACGGGACGTCACCTGGGGCGGTGGGCAGCACCACAGAGCCATAGCCTTCCACACGGTACCTCTGCCAGGAGTCCAGCGAGAGGACCTCACAGTAGAGCACAGGCCACTCCGGGACAGCATCTGGGAGAAGTGAGAGAAGCAGCCAGGTCACAGGAGGCCTTCCCCAAGAGAGGGCGCCACCAGAGGAGAGCCCGGGCCCAGGACCTGCTGAGCTACTCACCAGCAGATTCGTCTTCGTGGAGGAAGGAGGCCTCAAATGTGAACGGGTAGGAGAAGTAAGCCACCTTATCCTAAAAAAGAGAAGTGTTATTCCATACTCAGGGTCATGGGGTAGGCAAGGCCTCACTGCGAATCTGTTCTCCCTGTGGCCAACGACACCTTCACAAGGGAAAAAGAAAAACTATCCCCCCACGGGGGAAATAAGAGACTAAGAGGGGGTGGGGCATCCACATACAAGCTGCTACCATCCTCAGAAAGACAGAGAGGGAAGCCCTGGACCAGGCAGCCCTGCAGAGTCCAGACAGAAGGGCCAGACCGAACTCTGAGTGCTCCCCAGGCTGGCGGCCCGATAATCTTCAGAGTCCCGCCCCCCTCCAGATAGCCCTCCTGTTTTCCCTACCATTCCCAGGGATTTGGTGGCACAGGTCTGTGTTATTCCTGAGAGCTGCTGGAATGCTGGGCTTGACCAATCTGAAAGCCAAAGACCATATATAGTAAGATGACCTGGAAGGAAGGCAAGTGGTTGAGAAAAAGACAAAGTTCCTTCATCCATTCATTCACTCACACACTCCCTCACTCACTTAGCATTTACTGAGTGTCTCCTATGTGCTACGACCGGTCACTGGAGATATGTTGGTGAGCAAACAGAAGAGATCCCGGTCTCCCAAGGAGCTAACATGCCAGCTGGTGGGGGAGACGGATAGCAAGCCAACAAGAGGCTATCAGGTAGTGACAGATGCTGTACTAAAAACAAAGCAGGCCCTTTTAGATCGGGTGGTGAGGGAGGACTTCTCAGAGGGCACACTTAGGCTGAGACCTGAACTCAGTCGTGCAAAGATATGACAGAACGGGTTTCAGACAAAGGAAATGATCCCCAAAAGGCCCTAAGGTGGAAATGAACTTGGCATGTTCGAAAACAGAAAGTATGACTGGAATGCTGGAAGGGAGAGAGAGAGGCAGGGGCCGGCCTGTCCGGCTTTGGAGTGGGATTTTACTGTAAGTGGGAGGGGGAAGCCTTTGGCGCTTAAAGCTCAAGAGAGATAGAACTAATTTACATTTCCAAAGGTTCCATTTGGCTGTGGTGTCTGTGGCAAATGAACTGTAACGGAAGCCAAGGGGTAAGTTAGAAAGTTAATTCACGGGCCTGGGCAGGAGATGGAGGTGGCTTGGTCTAGGGCGCTCGAAAGAGGAGCCTTCAGGACATCTTTGGAAGACAGAGCCGACAGGAACTGCTGATGGAATGACTGGCCGTAGGGAGCTAGAGAAAGTGAGGAATCAAGGGTGTCTCCTCGGTTTTTGGCAGCAGCAACTAAGTAAATGACATTGCCATGTCCCTTAGGGAAGACCATGAGGGCAGGTCTGACGCAGGAGGGAGGATCAATAGTCCTTTGGGTCATGTTAGGCAGGAATGACAACTGGATATGAGCCTAGAGTTCGGGGGAAAGGCCAAGGCGAGAGAGGAATCTAGAGGTCTGAGACATATACGTAGTATTCAAGCCATAGGATGGATGGGACCACCTAGAAAAACTATAGAGAGGGAGTAATAGGAGGCCCAGGCCCAGCCCTGGACACTCTAAAGCTTTGAGACCAACTGATAAGCCAACAGCCAAGGGGAATGATGAGCCACTAATAAGAGCAAAGAGAAGAGTGTGGGGCCAGAAGCCAAGAGGAGAGTTCCAGTGAGGAAACGTGAGCTGTGCCACGTGCTTCTGAGAGGTCATGTAGGGTGAATGCAGAGGTGTCACCACAGGACTTGACAACTTGAAAGTGATCTATGACCTTGAAAAGGACAGTCCCAATATCTTTGAAAAAAGTGGGGAAGCTGACTTTCTAGAATGCCTCTAGAAAGCTGTCAGAATGGGTATAAAGGAGACTTAGGAATACTACTTACTTGTGGTTGGCAATTCCACAAAGAAGTGGATGTAGAGATTGTCATACTCATAGCCTTGCGCTGAAACTAAGAAAACAAGAAACGACTTCAGCTTATTCTCCTGCCACCCTTAGCACCCAACCCCGTCCTGAAAGGCCTACATCCTCCGGGAGCAAGTCCCTTGAGCACCAGGAACTCCCTGCGCTTCCAGGAAAGCCTCATGACTGTGTTTCCCAAGTAGGGCAGACAAACCAGAGCCTCCACCGGGGTGCAGCGGGTTACCTCGCAGCTCTGTCGCGGCACCTGCCCAAGCATCAAGGGATCTCTGTCTGGCAAGGCACTTACCTACCTCTCCATTTACAAAGAGCCGGAGGGCACCTGGGACAGTCTAAGGAAGAGAGAAGTGGGCCAGGATCAGGAGTCAGGAGGTCTGGGGTAGTCAGCACTCGTCCTCCAGCGCGCCCACCAATCCCCGGAAGACCCGGCACCGGCGGCCAGATCTGCGCGCGAGGCCATTGCGCGTCCTCCGCAGCCCCGGCCCCCACCCCGACCCCTCTCCACCGAGCTGTCTCCTTCATTTCTCAAGTTTGTAACAGCAAAAAAAGTACATAACTTAAAGGGTGAGGTGGGCAACGAAGCACAGAGAGTTTACAAGAAGAGCCAAGGGAAGCAAGCACAGCTGCCCTTTACCAACAGTGGGATGCTGGGGGCCCGTTCCCTTTAGGTGCCTGAGGTCAAGGAACTAGGGAGTTTCCTTTTTAATTACTTGTTTTCTCATCTAACTTTTTAACACTGCACATCTGCTGCTGATGCAATACAAAAATAATGAATTTTTTTTAAAGAGAGAGGGAAACCGCTGAGTAATCCTATGCTTGTCTCCTGATCGAGGAATGGAACTGCTGGAATAAGGGAAGACAAAGAACAGGACCACAGAATAACTGACAGAAATTATTTTGTTTTGTTTGTGTAAGAGCTAAACTATTTAACAAACAGAAATGATGCCCCTTCTCTCTCTATGGGGCACTTAGGAAAAATATCCACATGAAGAGTGAGGAAGACCTTGAGCATCTTTTTATTTTTTTAAATTAATTATAAAGTAATATGTGAATGCATTACCACTGATAAAAATTGAAAACAACTAAGTTTAGGGAATAAAGAGTAAACATCTCTGACATATCCCTCTCACCATCCAATACCCATCTACCTTCCCAACCCCACCCCCACCCCCGAGAAAGCCATCCACAGCACGTGTGTGCCCTTTTAGACCTTTTTCACTGACATTTTCTTTTTCGTTAACAGCTCTCTGTCAATATGCTATATTTAATTTTATTATTTTTTTTAGAGAGAGAGCATGCACGAGTGAGGGGGTGTGGGGGGGAGGCATAGAGGGAGAAGATCTCAAGCAGACTCCTTGCTGAGCATGGAGCCCAACGCCAGGCTCAGTCTCATGACCCTGAGATCACAACCTGAGCTGAAATCAAGAGTTGGAGGCTGGGTGCCTGCGTGGCTCAGTCGTTAAACGTCTGCCTTCGGCTCAGGTCATGATCCCAGGGTCCTGGGATCGAGTCCCACATTGGGCTTCCTGCTCAGTGGGAAGCCTGCTTCTTCCTCTCCCACTCCCCCTGCTTGTGTTCCTGCTCTCGCTGTCTCTCTCTCTGTCAAATAAATAAATAAAATCTTT